TGTCTTAGTTTTTACATTGGTTGGTATGGGATGTTTTATGTTTTGCCCTTATTATTCTTGTAGTAAAATCTCAATAAAATATTTACTTTCAAGGTATAACCCTCTCCTGGGCTTCCAGTGAGAAGCCTAATATTTTTATCTGTTCTTCCTAACAAGGTGAAATCCAAAATTAAGCACAGCTTTACAGTGAACATGAGCTAAAACCTCTGCCTTTCACCGCATCCTTACAATCTTCTCTTTGCCTGCACAGTTCAAGGTTTGCCCTTGGATGTAAGAGGAGAGTATACACAAATTTGGGAGCATCACTCTCCACTGTCTCCCTCTTTCATATGGTTCCCCCCTCAATTTTTAGTCACTCTGGCCTCCCTGAACTCCACCCTGAGACAACTCGTTTGACTAAGATTGAGTTTTTTCAGCTGAGGTACTAACCGCCTGATACTCTATGAATTTCGGAACCTCCAAGGGAAACAAGGCTTCATAACTGCAAATTTCCTCGGGTAAAGCGCCCTTCATTCAATAAATGCATCCCCTTAACCTTTTCCTGCTTTTATTTTTTTGGCAGTGCCTTTAATACAAAAATAAAAAACAAAAAATATTCTTCCTAGAGTTTACATATTTTTAAGTGTTTCTTCAGTGTTTGATATAAGCCATTCCCATTTTTTTCTATTTATTTTCTAAAATGATGCGTATAAAGCAGACTGCCAGCTTCTAGAGAATTCTTTCTATTACAAATATTTATTATATTTAACATTCGGTCATAGCATTAAAATTTTTCAGATTATCTAGGTTTTCTTTCTTTTATATATTAAAAGCATTGAAGAGAAAAGTTAAAGTATTAACTTTTCTTTAAATTGGCTTCTCTTTCTTAATTAGTCATTCAGACTGAATTAATTCCTTAACCTGAGGGAAACCTACAATCTTGCCCTTCTGAGATTTTCTTAAATAAATTGGAATAAGAAAAAAATACAGGTATACCCAAAAAGATTTAACATACGTGTGTGTGTATATATATATGTGTGTGTGTATTTCATTTATTGTATTTAAAAATAAGCTCTTAATTTTTTATTTAAAAAGCTATATATATGTATATATGTGTGTGTGTTATAGTATTTAAAAATAAGCCCTAAATTTTTTATTTAAAAAGCTGTATATATGCCAGTATACAGTATATATAAATATATACATATATATATGTATGTATGTATATATATATATATATATATATATATACACATATATGCAGGCAAATACATGCCAGAGAGACAGTATACAATATCTATATCTATATCTTTATGAAATGGATTGGCTGAATATAATTATTCTATGTGAAAGATAAGTAAGATTGTCAAATAACTGTCAAATAACATGTTTTCCTTTCATAGTTTTTTTTTTTTTGTTATCTTTAGTAATAAATACCATTCTCAAGCAAAATTTTGTTTCTTTTTCTTCCTAGTGACTATATGTTTGCCAGATATTTAGGTGATTTATTTTCTTTTAGAGAAGTAAAATATTACAAGCATATCTATATAACTAGCATATCTATATAACTGTCATTGTCATGACATGAGCTATATAATGAAGCCCATGTCATGACAATCATAGTTATGCACTGCACAATTGAATCATAACTTAAAGTAATAAAGTTAATGATTATTTTAAATCAAATGAAAAATTTCACATAATTTTCCGATGATTGATAAAAGCCTTAGTCTTCAGACTGGTAATGAGTACCTTTTAATTTACTATTTAGTGTATCTACAAGTGTTTTCACATTTTTCTATGAAATATAAGTAATCTAGAAAATAGTATGTCTATCGGTTATTCAAGTAGTTAGAATATGCTCTACTCAGAATGTAATCATAAAAATAAAATTATAGAAATTCTGTTTTATGTGTACACACACACACACACACACACGCACACACACACACAGACAAATGACAGTTCAACCAAGAAAAGGCTATTTGTTCTTGAGAGATTTATTTCTTTTTAATATCTACTGTTGTACTGAGAAGCCATCTAATTGTTTCCTTAATTACTCCTGCATATCTACCCTAACATCTTGTCTGATGCCCTTATCTACACAACTGTTATTCCTTAGTTGAAAAGTGATTTAGTGATGGCTAATCTCCTTTTCTGTTTCAATTCACACTTTCCCCTTGTCTATTCAGAACTGGAAATGGCACTGAAGTGATTCAAACTGTACCAGCATTCCCCTTTGTTTTAATTAAATCATGTATTGGCATTTGATGTGATTTATGGTTGAAAATTTTAGATTTGTACTATGCCAGATCATGTATTGTTTCATCTATTCCTTCTCAGTTTAGCCTTCCTTCCAGAAAGTTCTATGAAGGAATCATTAATTAGAACATTGTAAAAATGTAACAGACTGCCTTACACAGGCTTAACATTGGTATTGTTCTTTTCTGTCCCGTTTCCCATGGTAAGATGACTTTCACATCAAAGTGTCCATAATTCCGTACCATTGCATTTACAAACACAAAAATGTAATCAAATACATGCAGTTATAAATTCCTTAAGCAGTGTGTCATATAACCAATTTATATTGACTTAAGATTTTTAGTTATCTTGCTTAATAATATAGTTATTCTTCTCTAGTCATTTGGCTTTTCACGCTTATATTACATAGTTGAAAATAATATGTGGAACAGCTGCAAACTTTCACAGTAATAGGTACAATCGAATCTGATGTGTCTAATTAATTTTTAGTCCAACAAATTAGTTTTGTTCTTCATTACTCTCCAATGGGAGGAAGACATAATATTTCATTATATTTTTTGTCTGCAAGAACAATGGAGCGTTACAGGTCATACACATCCCTTGTCTATGCTCTAATTAGTCCAACTGACAACATAGTTTCAAGAATACCAGAAGCATAAAAAATAGTAATACACCTTGAATAACATAAATATGGTTCCTTACTAAATATGACATTTTATGGACCCTTTACAAAAATGGGTTCAAAAAATGAAGACCAAATTTTCTTTTCTTTTTGTTCTGTAAGGTATTTGTTGTCTTTCTGATAATTCATAATAGTTAAGGAAATCACCAGATAGGTGTATGTCTCATATTGAAAATATGAGCTCATTTTAAATAGAGTTTTGACTGTGTTTGCATGTATAATAATTAAAGGCAGACATAGTGGGAAGATGAGCCAGATTTACTACATAAGTGACACTGGTTTATAAATCTGAAATTTAATACAAAAGACCTTTCAGAAATGGAATACAAGTATGCATAAGGAAATGCTAGCAGCTATAGTAAAAAGGCCTGCATTTTCTGAAGATAAACAAAATAAAATTTTATTTCTAGTTCACAGCCCAGTCCAATATGGGTCAGCAGAGTGAGAAATGGAGTTTCTACTCCATACCGTTATTCAGGGGTTTGGGATCTTTCAAACCATAGCTCTGCTATTTCTTAGAAGTGCAACATCCTCCAGCACATCCCCTGTATCTGTCCAACCAATGAGGAAAGAGAGTTTCAAGTCAAGGCAGTGTTAGGGGTCAGGCCAGGAGGGTCCTGTGCACTTTTTGTTCCTACTTACTTCTGACTAATGCTCAGTTACGTTTTGCACTCAACTGTAAAAGATGCTAGGAAATGTAGGCTAATTTTCTGCCCTAGAAGAAAGGAGAAGCAGTGAAGTAAACAAGTGAATTGAGATTTGCAGGATTCTCAAATCTAGATAATTTATCACTCATGTCAATGAGGTTGACTGAGAGGCCCTTAAAGCAACCCTTAAACATACACGGGTCATAATTTTGAGTCAAAAACTACAGCCTTTTTATTAGCTGCCACTTCAATCCTCCCAAAATATATGAAGTAGACAATACTGCTGCCAACTAATTGACACAGGCTCTAGAAGATTCAGTGCCCTATATAAGCTTACTGCTTACTTGGCTAGTAAGTGTCAGAGTTGATATTCAAATTCTCAACTTCAAAGACCATGATCTTTTTAATATATTACAGTGCTATAACTAAAACAAGGAAGATCCCACACATTCCTTTGATGTGATATGCTTAAATGTGCCATTTATATTTTGCTTACCATTTACCTTTTAAAAGTCTTTGATTAGTCACTAATTAGGCATGATATTGACATTAGAAATCACTTAATTCCCAGTGCCTTAATTTCTTAATCTGCTAAATAAGCCCCTAAATCTTATGATTTCACAAGTTTAAGACCTATTTAAAATTGAGATTTTCTTAATTATCTGAGAGGCCCAAATTTTCCAAACATGACTAGTTGTAGAATAATCTTAGTCCAGATTTAAATGGATGCCTCAATAATGGAGAACTCAAAATTAAATTTTAAGTTGTTCTTTATATTTAGCTTTCAAATGGATTTTCAAATTAGTTTCAAATACTTTAAGTGAATATATGAGTTCAATCTTTTCATTTTTAATTATGCATACTGATCTCTATGAAGGCTGCTTACATAATGGTCATTGTTTTGTATAGTAGTTTTAATACTTTCCAGAAAATTAGAGGATACTTGAATATTAAGTATCGTAGAATATTAAGGTCAACATGAAGTTACCTGTTCTCGTCAGTTATGAACATTTTAAAATGGACAGTGCCTTAGCAGAAGGGCAATTTTCAAATACCCTGAGTTAAAAGTTGTAATTGGTTTCTTAAAAATGAGAACTATATTTAAAAACGTTTTATGTAATTCAAGATAAGTTATTAATTCAACTATTAGTATTTATTTTCACAATAATTTATAAGGTGATAAATCAACATGTGGTTGTCAATCTGTCCATAGCAATCTACAACACAAGAGGTCAGTGTTCTTAATCACATTTCAAACTCATGATTTGATTATTCTTTTGAAAATTATGAACTATGTTTATCAGTAATTGTGATAGGCTCAAAACAAGTGTTTTCTGCCTTCAAATAATTTTTCTTCATTTTTGACGCACCATGTTTGTATTCCTATGCTTTTTATTTTAATATTTACTAACACGATTTTTTTTTAATAGGGAGACGTAATGAAGTTGTCATTACTGAAAACAATAACAGTATAACTGAGCAAATCACTGATGTGGTGAAGCAACCAGCCTTTATAGCTGGCATTGGTGGTGCCTGCTGGGTAATTTTGATGGGTTTTAGCATCTGGTTGTACTGGCGAAGAAAGAAGAGGAAGGGACTCAGTAATTATGCTGGTAAGTGACTATTTCCAGCTAAGAAAACCTCTTATCTGTAGGAATGTAATGAAATGAATAGAAGGAACAGAATGGAATAACAAATAAGTGATTTTGGCTTGTTTCAGAAACCTGCATTGTACCCAACATGCTCTCATTCATTGCTCTTGACCATATCGCTTTATAACCACAGGGCAATCTTTTTGCTTGTATCTCCAGTGAAGCATAACAAGAGTACAGACTGATAAAATGCTTAACTTTTTTTTCTCAACTAGTTCTTTGAAATCACAGACACACACACACACACACACACACACACACACACACACGTGTTACATGCTATGAAGCCATTTTGAGAAGTGACTTTACACAACAGCATTACTAAAATACTCAGGAAAAAAAGAAAAATATGAAATATAGCTTTTAATGTATTAGGATGCAGATTACAATAGGAAATGCCCCTCATGAAAAATACAGGCAAGCAAAAATGTCACCAGAATTGATAAAAGCGATGAAGCATGAATTAAGTGATTTACTGTTCACTTAAATAGACTGTCTTGCTACAATGCAAACAAGCAGTATTTTAAAAGAAAATGAAAGGAAAAGGAAGAAAAAGAAAAAGAAGCTGAAGCAGAACAATAAAAAGAAGACCCTAGGTGATCTACATGTTCGCAACAATGTTTTTTTCTTAGAATCCAAGACAGAGTTTCAAGGGCATCCTATATTGTGGCCTCCGTGGCAGAGAGAGAGAGAGAGAAGAGAGAGAGAGGAGACACAGAGACACAAAATTATATAGTCAGTGATTGAGAGAATGAACTCAATACTCTGAATCTATGTTCAATTACAATTTTAAGTGCAGTCTATTTTAAATATTTTATCCAGCCACGATAACAAGAAATATCTCACATTTTACACTTTCTAGAATTTACAAGGGAGCAATTTCAATTTGACATCATTCTATAAGCATGTAAGAAATGTTTGAAACATTATATTCAATCTTCTATTTGTAATATTAACTTTGGTTGGAAGCACAAATGTCTTAGTAACTGAGTTTGACAGCGGTGTCATTAGTTATTAAGCTTTTAAGCTGCTGCGGCTTGTAGGTTCCCAAACTGCTGAGAATGTGGAAAGAGTGTACAACGCTAAGTACAGCACTGACTTGGTTGCCTTGCTTGTTATTTGATGCATTTACATGTTTACGATCATTTCATTATAGCATTGTAGCTCATGCCTATATCTTCTGAAGATAAAATTTGTTAGTTATTGCTTAGAATCCAGGACCAGAGAAAGTAGTACAGCATATCCATTGACAAGGAGCTTCCATGTTGGGTGACATGCCATTCTCATTTCTCATTGGTTGCCACCTCTCTGCTTCCTCATAATTTGTTACCTAAGGGCTGTATCACTTCAACAATGAGGGAGTCTTTGCAGAAGGGGGTGCTAGGCGATAACTCCTGAGTGTCAAAGTCTTGAAAATTAATGATACTTTAATGTAATTTTTTGTTATGCAGTCCAGTTCTCGGCCTTCATTCCTGAAGGTATTGGCCATCAACCTTTCTGTTTAATCATTCACCATGTTATATTATGTCTCTGTGATACACTTGTATACATCATATAAAACATGAGGTATAACTGATTTAGTTCACAGATTATTTTGTGTTTAACTCTTCACTTGACATTAGCAATGATAATAAAAAATTGACTATGCTGGTCAACTCAGTGCAAAGTTCTAATATATTCACATTTGGAATGTTGCATTTTTATCCTCATACTTCTTCATTCACTCACTCATTATAAGTAAAATGTATCTCATAGCTAGTAAGTTAATTTTACTGTTAGTAAAATTACACCCGACAGACTTTTCTTCTTTAACAGCAATTCTTTGCAAAACCTATGCACTCGATTTGAAAATATATGTTGATCTTTGAGATTGACAAGAATAGTACATTTCCTATTAATAGTTTTTTTTATTGTGATTGATACTCATCTGTTTGTGGAAGAACTGCTAACTCGGAAGGTGCTATGTCCTTCAAGTATTTTGGAATAAGGCCAAGCCAGAGAGAAGCGTTCAGAACTTTTATACTTAACTGATAGATGTCTGGCTCTGAAGATAACAGATTTTGTGAAGCTCAGTAAATATAAACAATTTAATATGAGTGAGCAAATTAGGTGAAATGCTAAACACTTCACACATCCATCTTAATATTGTCAGTGAAATATAAATTATCGGACACAATTATCCAAAGGCACTTAAAAGATTTGATGGAATTTTTATACCCTGATTAGCTGGACTGAGTTAGTGCTTATTAAAAAAGGATTAATCTACATTCATATTTGAGAAATAGCTTATCAGGAAAGGGAATGAGGCTTGGCTGCAACATTAAAGTTTCCATTTGGAGTAGGAAAATGTGACCTACTAGAGACAGGCACTCTGAAAGCTTCCTCACTCAAAATGTCAATTTACTGCAGTTACATTTTTCTCCTCCTCTACCCCAGTTGTAGCAGGCATGAGATTAGGATTAATCCTGTGAGGTAATATTAGAGTTACTTTTTGTATGCTATAACCTTGCAAAATCTCTTTACTTTATTTATATATGTAATAAAAATTACAAGAAATTCAAAATATTTTATGCAATTCAAAAACGTTTTAGATTGTAGCATCTGCAGAACTTTTTGGAAAACTTATCACTTCGGTTAGTATAAGCTAAAATCTTTCGTATGTAATAACCCCTTGAAAGTTCTTAATTTCAGATGCTAGCAGAGACATCTGATTGAGATTCAGTTATTCCGTATGTATCTCTTATAAACACAAAATTACTACTCTGTGATTGTCAAAATTGTGACAAGAACAGGATTGTCTGACCACTCCCAACCCTACTTACAGCTTCAAGGCAAACATTTCTTTGAAATGAGAGCCACCTCAAGATTGCTTTCCATTTGCTGTGGCATTTTATTTGTATGTTCATCTCTCTGCACAACCAAAAAAATGCTGATGAGAATACCGGATATAATTTCCACTTTAGGAGTTCTAATTGTTCATCCTTATTTGTAGTCTGCCTTAAATCTCATGGTCTAATGGAAGTTAGTCACTTTTGATCGACTTTTCAAAATAGAACAAATCTAAAAGTTTTGAAGATTAAGGTAAAAAAATGCAACTTAAAAAAGTGTTCCCTTTTTTTCTTTTGCTTTAAAAACACAACTAAATAACCCTTTAAGATAAGAGTTTTCTTTTTTAAATCTCTTACAGAAATAATACAAAATGGAAAATTGGATTGTGTACTAAATTACACGTGAACCTTTTTAAGATTATCAAATATTTACCTAATGTAGTGTGAAGTTTTGCCTTTGTATAGTTAATATGCAGCAATACAGAGGTAAATCTCTTTATAGAATATTTTGACACCCTATTAGCAGTCCGTTCAAACCATTTGAAAAGCATATTTTAATGCTGATGGGAACACAAACAGAAAATAGGTATGTCCTAAATGTTCAATATGAAATACTTTGAAATTGAAATTATTTTACTCATTGCATTCAGTTTTCAATTTCCAGATATGGGTGATACCTACTATAGTGTTCATACTCAAACAAGTTTGCAAATTAACTTTAATGCATAATACGTTTTTGATAAGGTTTCAGTGTTCCATTATAATACTTCAAACTTTACATGTTATGAAGAATTTGCCACTGGTTCGTGTAGTAAAGTTAAGTACAACTCAATGTTTCTACCTCTGCTTCTCTTGTCTTCCTTTTCTCTAATACTATCTATTGCTCTGGCAGTAACAGAAAGTTTGAATGGGACAAGAGGCATTTAAATTAAGGAAAACTATTTTGCTTCTCACATATCTCTTAAACAGCACATTTTGAGGTGTAACCCATCAGCATCTGCTTATTTGCATATTCACAATGATATTCACACTATTATCTTAACTCTCTTTTAACAGACTAAAACAATCACTTGATAGTCCATTAAAAAAAACCACAAACTAGAAAGTCACATCAGATGGAAAGCTAATTAGCTATACTGTTTTCACATTGCGTGTGTACTAATCAGGCGTTTGTTTAATATCTGCAGTGCTCAATTTTTTGCCTTAATTATTTCAGATTAATTCTTTTTTGTTAAAAGCAGTTATTAAAGGGGCACAATGTGGGACAGATGCACTGCTGATTCCTGATTCCCTGCACTTAAGTGAGCCTTTTGCAATCTGTATTCTTTCATCTTCTCTGAGCATGTGCCTATAGCTAGTCCTGAGCAGATGCAAAGGTTATGTCAAGATTGCTTTGCAATGCATTTGAAATATTACATGTAAAATTGGTAAGACAGTATATTTCAGGTACCAATAAGAAATTCCTAAAAGTGCTGATATGATTTATTGTCTCATGAAGAGCCTTGGATTTTATTATCATATTGCCTGATTATGATATCATGAGAGATGATATTAGTAGATAACCTTAAAGCAGGGACTGGAAAACTGCATTTGGAAATTTGTAATATTTAAAAAGTCATCATATTTGATAGCCCAAACTTGAGAACAGAGGCATTATGGAGAGTTATGCAAATTAAAAATTATTCACTATGTATATATATATTAAGTGGCAATATATCTTCTATTTACTTAAAATATGAATCAGTTAATTAAATTTCATTTATTTTCACCTGTACTCACCACATTTAAAAAAAATCATAGTAAATATAATCAACCCCTTCCAAAAATAGTGTTTATTGGGTTCACAGCTGTGAAAATGGTATTATTTTTCCTTCCTCCCCAGTGATTGTTTTAGCCAGTCTAGATTAATTTTGGTCAGAATTGCAGGTTCATTGTACCTTTGCAAGCTATACACTTCTAAACACCACATTTCTTTTTTAAAATAATTTTCTAGTTAACTAACCCAACAGCAAACCAATGTGAAGCTTTTTGTAGACTTTATCCTACTAATCAGGGATATTCACATTCCACTACAGAAAAACTAAATAACTTTGAATACAGTTTACTGTCTTAGATTCTCTTTGTAGTATTCAAAGTATATTACCTTTCTCAATTCTGAATCATTTTGGAGTTCAAATACATTTGGCTGCAAAGGTTTGAACAATGGATGATGGACCTGAACTGAAAATAATATTATTTGGCCAGCCCTTAAAATCCACTGTCATGTTGTTGACTTTGTAGACTTGAAACTATTGACTGGAGACAGTGGATTCACTGGCTTTGGCTCTGGTGGATGCTTGTTGGTGTTGCTAGTAAGTTCCATAGTTAGATGGAGGAGTCCACCTTTGTGATCATGACATACCATTAGGAATATATTCAGTATTGATTATTTGAAAATTTCATTTTTGGGACCATGTCATTCTCTATTAATTATAGTTCATGTCTATTGTAATTATAGCTGTTTATGACTATCATAAAACAATTTGTGATTGTGAAAAACATATAGTCATTGAATATTTGTTTTTCTTGCTTCATTAGGAGGACATAACATGTTTGAACTCTCCTGCTTCAATTTCAAAATTATGAGCGAAACACTTTTCCCTTCTAATTGGGACACCTTTGTTTTAAAACAAAAAAGTCTTTATTTTGATAAATTCACAATAACATTACATCGATCTTTCAATACCACTATATATACTGATTGTAACAGGTTTGACATTTCAATGCAAATTGGTTCTTTAACTTAAACATGGATTTGGCTTAAAGAATTTTGAAATGTCCTACTAAAATGGGAACAAATGATGGCTTTGGCTTGGGCCAAACTACTGCTTGTTACTCTCTGTACAATTATGTTAATTATATTTTGTTAAAATTCCCAGAGGCCTCAGCTCTAAACTAAGGGCCAATATATAGTTGTTATTAATTGTAATTAATATTGACTACTTGTATGTGTACATCTTCCTTTTTTTTTTTTTTTTACAGTTACATTTCAAAGAGGAGATGGAGGACTAATGAGCAACGGAAGGTATGCTAAGGAGATTGTTTTTTTATTATTATTGTTATTTTTAATCAGGACTGGAGAACTCTATAGTAAGAGGCTATTATTGTAATAAATGATCACTTGTAAGTCTGAGAATTCTAGGAGGAATTAAATGGCTTACCACAAAGTTTAATGATCTATCTGTTGTGCACTTTAGAGGAATCAAGTCCAGATGTTTCATATCTCCCAGATGCCCCTAAAGAAATTAGTAGTAAATATCACATGGAATGTGTTCATTTGTTAGCAGGATGTTTATTGCATTAATTAGACATTAGCAAATGAAGTTGCTGTTGTTTAAGACTCCTTATTGGCCCTCACTAAATTGCTGTGAGTGAACAATTACACATAATCGATCACAAAGTAAATGATTCATGGATGATGAATAGGCTGTAGATTGATAGGACTGGATTCCACAACTTTGGATACTCAATTGAAATTGATAAAAGCTGATAACAAACTCATATATCCTCATCTATTTTCCCTTTGCCAATATGGAGATTGTAATTAGGCTCTGGTAATAACTTCCAATCTCCCATTTAATCAATATTTTAGCAAAAAGAGATTAAGCCTAATGAGAGTTAGTGGATATAGCAAGAAAGCAGTAGGGTCTTCTTATTGCTGTTTCCATAGAAACACATGTTTCTCTTAGGGATTGTACCAGAAGGGGTCTATCAAAAAAAAAAATAAGTGTAATGATTATAGATATTCTATTCCCTGCTAAATATGCTAGTAATCTGGAAAGGAATCAGAATCCCATCTTTTATATTAAAGGAGGAGTTCTTTATAAATATGATGTGAAGGAAGTTTTTCTCATAGACTATACATACTCACATGCTGGATCATATCACAGTGTATCTTTTATTACCCTTAACAAAACCCTTAATATACCCTTAATATTTTGCAATTTAGAGAACTTGGAAATATGCTACTGATGGAACAGTACAAATACTGTTCATTAATTTCCCTTAAGTTCCTTGCCTCCAAATCAAGCATGAGGGCTCATAACAAGGGTTACAGCCCAGAGTGGACAGACACATAAGGGAGCTGCAGAAATTGAGGAAAGAATAGCCCAGAGTCTTAGAAATGGCTGGCATATTTAATAGCAATGAGGGAGGGGGAAGCGTGCACAGTGAATGTATCTACTTAGACCGGAATATTTGTGTATGGAGGCTGGTGGTTACAGCCTTGAAGTTCTCCCGGACCCTGCTTTCCTAGGACTATATTAAAAAATAATAACTGCCA